GATGTTTATTGACAAGCATTTATTGAACAGAAGGTTTAAAACCTGACTTTGTCTCTGTTCAGGCTAAATTTGGCTTGGAAGATGTCGGTGAATGAAAGCCTCTCCAGCATTTCATGTCTCCTTTTTTAGGAGGACTCTGCACCTGTCAGGTGAAGGAATCAGGGCACCTTGGTGTGTCACTTAAGTGCCAGTTTGTGGGAAGACAGACACTGGAAAGACCCACAGTCAATTTCCATTACAGCACAATAATGGTGACACAATTAAAAATAGGAAGCTGACCCTCTGAAAGTGTTTCTAAAACAAATGAAAGTTTTTAAACCTCAAATAAACAAGAAATACAGAATATTACTTTTTAACCAACAAGATGTATTCATCCTTTGTTGATTTGTTTCTTTAAGAACTTATTAAAAACAGATAGCTGTGATAATAAGAAAAATGCAGCTAACGTTTTGCAGCCTTCTGCCAAATAATACTCCATTAGTCAAAAAATATGGAAAATTCTGTCTTCATGTGAACCAGTTGGAATATTACCATAGACTGCAATGGGTCCAAGGGAAGTCCATGACCATGTAAGTAGTGTAATAGCTTCAACAAGCTTTGAATTTTAACCAGTGAAAGAATTTGAGATAATTCCAAAAAAAAAAAAAAAAAAAAAAAAAACAAAGTAATGATTAAAAGTGAATTTGGGGTGGAATTAATGGTACAATAGCTAAAATGATTGCTTTTCATTGGGTAAAATTAAGGACTATTCTTATATTAGGAGTAAATATTATGACTTTGCTAAAACAACTGTTATGGAGGTTTTCTGAAGTAAATAACAATTCATTAGAGAGAACTTCTTGGTACATTATTCATTGATGTACTGGTTAAATTCATTTATTTTCATATTTTTTTCCACATCTTTAGCAGATATGAACAAAATTTTCTAGGTATGCATTTCTTATAGGGTTCCACATGACTAAAATCTCTTTTACATTTGTGTTTTTGCAATGTATATATGTCCTTACAGGTTATCACCAAACAAATTTCATTTTTCTCAAAGTGTATATACACTAAAAAATTATTGTTATTTCTGGAACCGCTACTCTATATGTTCCCTTTAAAAGGCGATTCTACCCCTAGTATGCATAGCTCTTCAACTCTTACATTATAAATACTTTGCAATGATGTTTCATAATAATCTTCAATCATTTGCCTTAGCATGTCTAGGTTTCAGAGTAATATTGTATCTGTTACATTTCTGTTTATGAACACTGCCATTTTTATGCAGTATACATTTCAAGAACATTTTCTGTCTACTGATATGCTGCACTGACTAAGAAATTTTGCTGATCCAATAAGGAAATGGGAACAGCCTATGAAGTCAGTGATCCATGAAGTAAATAAGCCTCTACACAAGTTTTGACATATCAGAGAGATGACATTATACTGAGCCAACCTTTCTACTGGAGAAGTGGTAAAAGACAATGGTAAAACACAAATATACACACTACAAATAATTTACTTTGTATTTCTTCAGGCAAACATTCCCTGCTCCCAACAGCAAGGTATTGGTGAAATTCACTGAAATTTAAACACAAAATTAGAACTTAATGACAATCTCACTAAAGTTAATGTGACTTAGACTGCTAATTTGACTGAGAATGGAAGAGAACCTTGTATAATTCATTTTTTATCTCATTCTGCATTGAATAATATCACTCAGATTGCCATGGAGCTTTACCACAGGCAAGCTGCAAAACATGCAACAACTGTCTATTACTTTAAGTATGCTTGAAAGAATTCATGTCTATAAAGATGGCTTGGTGTTTCCAGCAGTTGCTCAAAAAGCCATAAATACATGTAGAAAAGACAGAAATAGTCATGGGATTGTCCCTACTAAAATTAAATGAAAATATTTACAAGATGGGTAAAATTGAATTTTGTTTAGTCTTTATCATGAACTTATTGCTGCTTTTCTACAACACTTTGGAATCCTGCAGTCATTCACATTTCTCATAAAAGTGACAAAGAAAGGCATATTCAAAGTCTATGTAGTGAAGAGGATATAGAGCATCCTATTTTTTAAATCTGAAACTTTAATAAATTAAAATCTATTTAAAAACAAACAAACAAGTAAATAAGTAAACAGAAGATTTTTTTTTTTTTAAGTGTTTGAGAAGTCAGAAGTACAGAAATATTCTTCCCTGAGAATATAAACTGTTTTTGCCTTTGAATTACACCAGGTTCAGGTTGCAATTGCAACTGTTATTAGCATGCACTAGAAAAAAAATAAAAAAAAAAAAAAAGTTTGATTGGTAACTGGTCTTTTCATTTGTATGAGAAAACATCCTGCCTCCTAAAAATACTAAATACCATAGGTCACCATACAAAAAGTCAGTGTCACGTAAACCACTTGGTTTTCTCCTCTAGGTTACATGGTTATTTCTGATTCTCTTTAGAATTCATACAGTTGAAGGCAAATGAACTGAATCATCTGTAGTAGCTGCTAACTGGTGAAAAACTACACACAGTCTGATTTATTTATTTCATCTCAATTTAATGAGAAATCACAGAATCACAGAATCACAGAATTGTCTAGGTTGGAAGAGACCTCAAGATCATCGAGTCCAACCTCTGACCTAACACTAACAAGTCCTCCACTAAACCATATCACAAAGCTCTACATATAAATGTCTTTTACAGACCTCCAGGGATGGTGACTCCACCACTTCCCTGGACATTCCAATGCCTCACAACCCTCTCGGTAAAGAAGTTCTTCCTAATATCCAACCTAAAACACCCCTGGTGCAACTTTAGCCCATTCCCCCTTGTCCTGTCACCAGGCATGTGAGAGAATAGACCAACCCCCACCTCACTACAGCCTCCTTTAATGTACTTATAAAGAGCGATAAGGTCGCCCCTGAGCCTCCGAGAAGAAACTAAGCGCCAAGAACAGGCACATTCACATAAGTTGCTAATCTATGGAAGGACTCAAAAATCATCTTCTTTTGGTGGGGGGAATTTTCTTTGCTCTGGTTGGTATGACTGCCAACAATAAACTTAATCACTGAAGACAATGCAAACTTGTGACTGAATGAACAGCAAAATACTTCCCTGAGGAATGTACTACAGTCATGAGGAATTAATCAGGCAAATGGGGGGATGTAACTTAATAAGGTCCTGGCCAGACGTCTCTATGGGAAAAGGAGAAATTGCATCTGTGAACTATGAATATTTTCTAAGAAGTTTTATATATATATATATATATTACTGTAATACATAGTTAATATAATACCTATTATTTGGCATAGTGCACATATTCTGACTTTGACACATAGGAATCAAAGAAAGAATTTATGCAGAAATTGGTCAGTTGAGCTTATTTTGGTTTTCCTTTAGTTTCTGACTCCCTGACTTCAGTGAACTTGTCATCAGTGATCAGAGAATGATATGATAGACATTGTATAGCCATGACTTTGGCCCTGTCTTCAGCTAGGTCCCCAGCCAGCCTAAGGAAGTATACAGACTTCCTCAACCAATATTTCACCTTGCTGTCCACTCAGCTCTGATAGCTGGTATTAAAAGACACCTCTCAGTATCCCTCGAGGGACAGAAGAGCACTGTGAATTAATTTAACCTAGCAGTTCAATCTCTACAGACTTGCTACAAACTAATGAAATTACGTGGTCAAGCAAAGACAGACTACGCTTAAGTTAGCTTCAACAAAAAGGTTCTTCCAGAAAGGTTCATTACTTAATGCATGTCAGGAAAACATAAAATTGTGGTGGTGTACTTCTATTAATATTTATAACTTCTACCATTTGGTGTCAGTCAAGTGCGAAAAAAGTAGGAAAGGAAAATATATTTTCCTTTGTTTGACCTTCATTAATGAAAATATTTGTTACAATTTCTGTATTGATATAACTCTTTATGAAAATTTATTTACTTTCCAGTGGGTACTTTGTGCTGATTAGGTGAGAAAGGATTATCTTCTTTTCTGCTATTTATAACACAGCTAATGATTTTCTTTGGGGTGAATAGCTTATTTATCTTTAGATGCTTTCTTTGACAGGGACAAAGTCAGGACAAAACGTCTTCATTGTTTTTCTGCTGCAAGGTAAAAATATGTGTCTGCTTCCTGTAAGTGGTTCTACTCACATAGGTATTCTCATATGTACAGGTCATCTTTTTTTATAAAAAGGGTGTTCACTCCCATTTGCTTTCAAAATTGAAGAGTACAGTAAAAGGATACATCCACTATTCAGTTACCTTAAATACTAATATATTTCTAAGAAGCATGAGGTTTAAATACTCTAACAGTTCTGGTTTTTAAAAAATGCCATGCCATGGTAGTTTCACTTTCAGAACAGCTATGTATTGTGAAAGATTTGAATCAGATGAAACAGTTCTTCTGGGAATCTTTCCCTGAACAAAGTTTCTTGTTCTTTGCTCCACATGCAGATATTTTTTGTGGAGTCATTAGGACAGCTCTGTCATATTACAAAATTATCAAAATTATCTTTCCAATAACTATACAAAGCTCATAAGAGATGACAGCAAATTGTTACTTAAATAGTGCTGTTTCAACCTCTGATATACATTGGTATTTGCAAGATAAAACATGCAAAGAATTGTCAGCTTTACAGCTGATTTGTTTAAGAATTTGTTTTTCCTAGGTTAGAAATGGAGTTGATAACTTAAAATTTGTGGAAATTTCCTTGGGTATTTGCCATAAAGAAATAGTATTTCTTTCCTATAACTGTAATCAATGTATTATCTTGTTTCTCTTAACTTGTATAATATACTAAAATTATAATGCACCCATCTAAATTTAAATTTCACATATGAAAATATTTTCATAATTGCCATATAGCTTTTCACAAATTTCTGGTTTCAGTAGAAATGACACATTTATGATGGGATGTTCCAATGCAATTCCATCAAATTAGAAAAAAAAAAAAAAAAAAAAAAAAAAACATAATGGAAAGATGAGAGATTTAGCAGTAGAAGTTTCTTACCTTCATATGTTCCGCTTTCTAAGAGAGCACCACTTTTCTCCAATTCCATAAAATCTTCAACAGTGATGAAAATATAGTCCACACCAGGGACTTCCCCCTCCTTATGTGGCCTTGTGGTGCCTATTAGTAATAAGAAAGGTACACTGTCAAATACATGACCTGAATGTAGATTAATCTTTTTGAAAGTTTTGGACAATTTATAAAGAAAACTCTATAAACAACACAAAATGTAACACATCCTCTTCTTCAGAATGTCTTTCAAAACCATAGAGTTACATCCATTGAAGCCTACAGAAGTATATGAGATGTATGCGAAAGGCTGAGCAAAACACTCTTTGAACCCAGATCATTTATTCTTACTAATGAAAATGTATCATATTGCTATTCCTTTTGCATTGCTACAAAGACTAGGAATTCAAAGGTAACAGGATTTTTAATGTGCATATTCTGTAGTTTCAAAGTGTTGTCTACAAATAATCCATTTCATGCTCTTCTAAACATTTATTTAGTACACAAAGTAATATATCTGTAAGTAAATGTATAAGGGTCATGTTCATATTGTTGGTTTTGGTTCCTTAAGTGGACTTGATAAATGGATAGGCTTAAGAGACTGATTGATTCAGATCACCTGCTAACTGTGCTGTCAACTTACAGAGGTACTTAAATTTAGTTATTGCCTCTATTGTCATCTCTGGATGACAGAGTTCTATAAATGCCGACAGAAAATATTTCATACATGGTGAGAAGTGACTCAGCCTTAGCTAGGAGAAGTTGGGATGTTAGCAAGAAAGAATATGAATTTCATCTGATTTCCTAACTGCCCATTTATTTATGTATTTATTTTGTGACTAGGCTATCCTTATTTTGACTGAAACCAATAATACAACTCAAAACTCCATTTGTAGATGGGAGACTTTGAGGTCCTCCTCAGCTTCAGAGTGTTTGAAACATATTAATCAATTCTTTCCTATACTATAGTGATTGCATCACACTTGTAGGGTTTGTTTTCAGGATTGTTGCCACTGGGAAGCAGACAGGAACTAAGTCTTCCATTTCCTGGACAGAAGTATAACATCACAATGTTTTGCAAAAGACAGTGTCTCTTCCTTAGTTATTAATTCACTTAATATTAAAAACTGTATTCTGACTCTCATATTATGCATTAGTGACTCAGGCGTCTGTTCCGGTCAGAATCTATTTCACAGAATCACACAATTTCTAGGTTGGAAGAGACCTCAAGATCATTGAGTCCAACCTTTGACCTAACACTAACAGTCCCCACTAAACCATATCCCTAAGCTCTACATCTAAACATCTTTTAAAGACTTCCAGGGATGGTGACTCCACCACTTCCCTGGGCAGCCTGTTCCAGTGTCTAACAACCCTTTCGGTAAAGAAGTTCTTCCTAACATCCAACCTAAAACTCCCCTGGCACAACTTAAGCCCATTCCCCCTCGTCCTGTCACCAGGCACGTGGGAGAACAGACCAATCCCCACCTTGCTACAGCCTCCTTTAAGGTATCTGTAGAGAGCAATAAGGTCACCCCTTTTCTCCAGGCTGAACAAGCCCAGCTCCTTCAGCCGCTCCTCGTAGGATTTGTTCTCCAGGCCCCTCACCAGCTTCGTCACCCTTCTCTGGACTCGCTCAAGCACCTCGACGTCCTTCTTGTATTTCATCTACTTTTTGATGCATATTATTCAGGCACATGAATTTAAACCCAAAGAGCCATTTTTTGTGAGATTATTTGTAAGAGTAAGAAAGTGTAGTTGTCTGCAGTTGTTTCATGCACATGAACTATTGAAGTCAACAGAGATCTTATCAATGGTAGAAGCAAGAGAGCTATTCAGCTGCCTATCTGCTAGGAGCTCAATTTATTTGTTTATACATAGGTCTCTTTTTGTGCCTGAGATATCTCAAATGTCTACACTAAGGCTGTAGAAACACAAAGATATATATGACACCCACATCCTTCTGGAACGGAAACCGGGAACCAAGAACTCTAGGGCACTTCACTTAATACTCGGATCCTGTGTTTAAGCAACTGAATTAATCCCCAAGATGTAGGTCTCAATCTCATACTGAATTCCACTCTTCATCTAGATCTAATGGAGATTTCTGTGTGATGAACAGCACATTAAAAGTGCCATTTTTTCTCACTGACAGTGACAGGACTCCTGTGCTCCTGGTGATTAATGCTGGCCGGTGCTTGGCTTTGGTGAAGCACTGCAGTGTTGTCCAAACTCCTTGTTGTCAGTGGAGACATAAAGACATAATGGTGCTTTAGTTGTGTTATCTGAACTGCTCATTGTAGGCACTGCTCCTCAAAAGCAGCCAGAATGTCTATGTCAAAGACCCGAGAAGAAAATATTTTAGTTGTCAACATCAGGAATATGTTTTGATAAATCTGTAAGACATTTTCCCTCATTCCTTCATTAGTCTGATTTCAATTTCCTTTTCATTATAACATTTGAAGTAAAAATCTTATTTGTCAGTTTATCTCTGGGAAATTCATATCTGTAGAAATGGGTTAGATAGGATAATTACTATAGAATTTCTGGAAGGGTATGATTACAGCACTGAAACACTTACAGTGTCCATACATATACTGAATTTACTCCATATGGAATATCTAACCACTGGGGATGCAGCAGCATCCTCAAAGATCTCCAGCCTCTTCTGATAACATTGCAGAAGCACAGGGATCCTGGCAAGCCCCTGAGCTCCCAGGAGCTCTAATAACAGCCCAGATATCAGATGTTTGATCTGCATTCTGTCTCCCGAGAAATATTTCACTCCCAATGTCTATTGACAGGAAAGACAACTTTGTCATAAAACACAAGAGATATGCAAACTTTAGCAAATGAAGGCTGTTTTGTTCCTAGATGTGGCACTGGGAAGAAGCTGGCATATTAGACAAATACCTCTCACTGTTTCTTCAATAGTTTTAATGGCCAATTTAGGATTACCAATAGTTTAACAATTATTGAGGAATCAGACAAAATTACAAATTACACAAAATATGGAATTGTCACAGAATCACAGAATGTTAGGGATTTGAAGGGACCCTGAAAGATTATCTAGTGCAATCCCTCTGCCAGAGCAGGAACACCTAAATCAGATCATAGAGGAACACGTCCAGGTGGGTTTTGAATGTCTCCAGAGGAGACTCCACAACCCCATGGGCAGCCTGTTCCAGTTCTCCGTCACCCTCACTGTGAAAAAGTTTTGTCTCATATTTAAGTCTCATTTTGACCATATGTACCCCTTGCCCCTTGTCCTGTCATTAGATGTAACTGATAAGAGCCTAGCTCCGTCCTCCTGATACTCACTCTTTACATATTTATAAACATTAATAATGTCACCCCTCAGTCTCCTCTTCTCCCCGCTAATGAGACCCAGCTCCCTCAGCCTTTCCTCATAAGGGAGATGCTCCACTCCATTAATAATCTTCGTGGCTCTGTGCTGAACTCTCTCAAGCAGTTCCCTGTCTTTCTCAAACTGAGGAGCCCAGAACTGGACACAATATTCTACGTGTCATGGTTTTGGCTGAGACAGAGTTAATTTTCTTTGTAGAGGCTCACAGACAAGGCTGTGTTTTGGATTTTTGATGAAAATAGTGTTGATAACACACCAGCATTTTTAGTTGCTGCAGAACAGTGCTTACACAGAGACAAGGACTTCTCTGCTTTTCATGCTGCTCTGCCAGTGAGGAGGCTGGGGGTACACAAGGAGCTGGGAGGGGACACAGCAGGGCAGGTGACCCAGACCAACCAAAGAGAGATTCCATACCATGTGGTGTCAAGATCAGCAATAAAAGCTGGGAAAAAAGAAGGAGGAAGGGGGAGATGTTCAGGGTGATGGCATTTGTCTTCCCAAGAAACCATTACACATGGTAAACCCTGCTTTCCTGGAAGTGGCTGAATGCCTGTTTGCCAATGGGAAGGAATGAATCAATTCCTTGTTTTCTTTGCTTGTACTTGTCTTTTGCCTTACCTAGTGAACTGTCTTTGTCCCAACCCACGAGCTCTCGCTGTTTTACTTTTTCAGTTCTCTCCCCTGTCCCACCTGGGGAGAGTGAGCAAGCTGCTGTATGGTGCTGAGCTGCCTGCTGGGGCTAAACCACAACAGGAGGTAATTCCTGTTCTGAGTGGAAAGTTGGACCAGATGACCTACTGAGCTCCCTGTCAATGCAAATTCTCAGTGATTCTATGATAGGATGTATTAATACACAGCATTTTATTTATTTATTTATTTATTTATTTATTTATTTATTTATATATACCTATATATTCAACAACCTTATTCCATAAGGATGACTGCAGTCTCATAGCAGGTCCAGCAACAGATGCAGTTATCCCTGCATTTCCCTATTTTGGTCTCCACCTTTGGCCAACTCGCGTAGACTTAACTTTCTTATTGTAACCAATATGTCTAAGTTATTCCAGCACAGTGTAATGGAGTAGTTTTTAGATTCTGAAACTCTCTCTTCAATTGAGATCTAGAGAGTGGACCTTTCTGCCCTCACGTGACTTGTCATAGTCTTTCAGATATGGTACATGTATGAGAATGTTTGCATGTGCCCTGCATTATGAATTGAGTATTCTGTCTAAGCTGCTATCTTTCAGCTGAAATGCATATTCCAATTACAGGCTAATTCTGTATCCTTAACACACAGCTTAACTCTACTCTGTTCTCCATTCCAATTATACACCACTGATCCCCACATGTTAGGGAACACCTAACATATAAGACACCTATTTAGAGCATCTGATGCAATCATTATCTAGTTCTATAACACTGAGATTTCAAGAAGTTCCTATTCTATTTCAAGATGAAACTAATAGATTTTGTTGTAAAACAAAAACAAACAAACAAAAAAAAGAACTAATGAACTTCATTTTAGTATCATTAGTGTGCTATACACAGCAGCTTGTTAATTCAGTCTCCATAAATCTCAGTTTCCCACTGATTTTCATAGAAGACTAAATAATTAATGGTGATTCTGATATTTTCCTTTCTACATTTCACTTGTGCCCCATAGTTTCACTAGGAATCCCAGCGCAGAAATGAGGATCCTTCCTCATTGGAAATGGGCAAATTACACAATGGATATTTGCAA